GTAATTTCTTGTAACATATGTCTGATTTGTTGTGTAACATGGGGAGAAACAGATTAGGAATTCCTAAAATGTTGGGGGGTTTTTGTTGTTATTGTTGTTGATTTTTGTCATAGGGTGCATGCAGCTCACTGGAGAAAGACAGAGAAAGGGAAAGTGAGAGATCACCCCTGAGGGGGAAGGACCATGCTGCAATCCCTTCCCTTCCATTCTCCTCACAGGATCTTAGGGATGCACGTACACATCCCTGGTACGATTTTCAAGCTACCAGTTCCGGGACTCAGGCTACGGTTGGCCATGTGGGAGTCCAGCACCTTACTCAGTGCATTACCTGCTGGCCCTATATAACGGGTTTTTAATTTAGAATGTTAGAAATGACATCATATCTTTTTTTAAAGTATTTTTTTTTAGAGATTTATTTATTTCCATTTGTTATTATTTTTAATTATTATTTTTTTTTTTTTACCAGAGACAGAGAGAGAGAAAGGGAAACCAAGAAAGCATGCTGCCAGGCTCAGGACTTGAACTGTAGTCGGCCATGTTGGGAATCTAGCACCTTTAACCACCACTCCACTTGCCAGCCCCCAGAAATGACATCATATCTTTTAGGCAATCAGGGTAATCAGTTAACATCATACTGTTTGCAAATGCTATCAAATAGGCGTTTTGTGCTTCTGTGAATCATGTTAGAAATCGGGGGAGATAAATTCTTACTACATTATGGTGAAAGTACGTAAATACTGTGCTTCCATACCACTTACCTGAACATCCTGGCACTAATGCGTCATGATGCCATGGCAACCACTGGCACTGCTTCTGTTGCTCCGGGTCAGGTAGAAGGAACATGTGCAGCTCCTACGGTCTGGGTCTGTGGTGTTTACATTACAATTTGATGAACAGGTGGTTCTGAAATAGTGATTCTTTCCAGAAGTGTTTTTGTCAGCTATATCCCTGAATTATATTTTGTATTTCAAGAGTCATAATGATTTTCTCAAGAACAGTTATTTGTGTATTAATATATCACAGTGATTAGTCTTCAAGTATAATGGAAAAAAAACCATGGTTGTTCACATTTTTTTTTAATGTGTAGAATCCTGTTATGTAAGTACAAGTGTATGTTTTGTTATATTGGAATAGAAAATTTGAGGTGAAACCAGATCTTTCTTTTTGATCACATTGTTTTGGTAGGAACAGATGGATCGTACTTCTTCAGGTCATCATCCAAACAAAAAAAGAAAGGTAGCAGAGACTGAGATTTACAGTGTATTTGTTTTTAGTAAGTAATTTAATGCTGCAAAAGCAAAAATCGAATGTATTGGAATAGCAGTCATATTGATACGAGAAATACGTAAATTTATATTTCAGTTGTAAAAGTAAATGATTAAAAGTTCATTGCCTTCATATGGTCCCAGCAGCTTATAATTTTTGAAACACAAAACTCAGCTGCCAGATTTATTCATTTAGTTTTTTAATATACCGTTTGACCATGATTGACATGTGAATTCAGAAAGAAATTTTTCTGCTTCAAAAGTTAACACATAGGGCTGGTCTGGTAGCACAGTGGTTAAGTGCTGTGCATAGGGGAGCCCAGTGCCACAAGGCTGACCATGGTTTGAATCTCTATCCCAGTGGCTGGAAGAACGGACCAGGTACACGTGTCGGTGTGCAGGATCCAGGCAGAATGGCGACGTGGAGGAAAAAGGACCGCAGTGTGATCATGCCTGTTGGGGGAATATTCTACCTCTCTCTCTCTGGCAAGCATATACACCCTCTGGCCAAAAAAAAGGGTGGATGAGATGGCATTTACACAAATTTCAGTGACTTTCATCGGTGGCTGCAATTATCAGTAGAATCCCCTGGGAGATTTAACAGATCGCAATGCCCAGGGTCGTAACCTATGCCAGTTACATTAGGATCTCTGCGGGGTGGGAACCACATTGTGGTATTTTTTTTTTATTATTATTATTATTTTTTTTTTATTTAAGGCTGAATGTACTTTATTTTAAGCTACTCTTTCTTCTCAAGTTAAGAAAACTGATATAAACAAAGAATGCAGCCAAGGACGGGAGCTATTGTTAGAGAAAGTGGTGAACTTCATTGTTTTGAGTAGCATTGAAAGACATTACTTAGGGCTTTTACTCTGTTTTTGGCTTTGGTGAGACTTTCAGTTTACAAGCATAATTACTATTTACATCGATTCTTGTGAGTACTTGTAATTCTCATAAAAAAGAAATGTACTGTAATTGCCTTGTAGGAAACTACTTTGAAAATTGCCTGTTAAAATGTTAATATTAACCTTTATTCATTGGCTTAAAATCAGTGGGACTGCTAGTTTATTCATAAATCCACTTTATGGCATTTATATATTTTTAGGATCTTTAAAAGGTAATTTCTTGTAACATATGTCTGATTTGTTGTGTAACATGGGGAGAAACAGATTAGGAATTCCTAAAATGTTGGGGGGTTTTTGTTGTTATTGTTGTTGATTTTTGTCATAGGGTGCATGCAGCTCACTGGAGAAAGACAGAGAAAGGGAAAGTGAGAGATCACCCCTGAGGGGGAAGGACCATGCTGCAATCCCTTCCCTTCCATTCTCCTCACAGGATCTTAGGGATGCACGTACACATCCCTGGTACGATTTTCAAGCTACCAGTTCCGGGACTCAGGCTACGGTTGGCCATGTGGGAGTCCAGCACCTTACTCAGTGCATTACCTGCTGGCCCTATATAACGGGTTTTTAATTTAGAATGTTAGAAATGACATCATATCTTTTTTTAAAGTATTTTTTTTTAGAGATTTATTTATTTCCATTTGTTATTATTTTTAATTATTATTTTTTTTTTTTTACCAGAGACAGAGAGAGAGAAAGGGAAACCAAGAAAGCATGCTGCCAGGCTCAGGACTTGAACTGTAGTCGGCCATGTTGGGAATCTAGCACCTTTAACCACCACTCCACTTGCCAGCCCCCAGAAATGACATCATATCTTTTAGGCAATCAGGGTAATCAGTTAACATCATACTGTTTGCAAATGCTATCAAATAGGCGTTTTGTGCTTCTGTGAATCATGTTAGAAATCGGGGGAGATAAATTCTTACTACATTATGGTGAAAGTACGTAAATACTGTGCTTCCATACCACTTACCTGAACATCCTGGCACTAATGCGTCATGATGCCATGGCAACCACTGGCACTGCTTCTGTTGCTCCGGGTCAGGTAGAAGGAACATGTGCAGCTCCTACGGTCTGGGTCTGTGGTGTTTACATTACAATTTGATGAACAGGTGGTTCTGAAATAGTGATTCTTTCCAGAAGTGTTTTTGTCAGCTATATCCCTGAATTATATTTTGTATTTCAAGAGTCATAATGATTTTCTCAAGAACAGTTATTTGTGTATTAATATATCACAGTGATTAGTCTTCAAGTATAATGGAAAAAAAACCATGGTTGTTCACATTTTTTTTTTAATGTGTAGAATCCTGTTATGTAAGTACAAGTGTATGTTTTGTTATATTGGAATAGAAAATTTGAGGTGAAACCAGATCTTTCTTTTTGATCACATTGTTTTGGTAGGAACAGATGGATCGTACTTCTTCAGGTCATCATCCAAACAAAAAAAGAAAGGTAGCAGAGACTGAGATTTACAGTGTATTTGTTTTTAGTAAGTAATTTAATGCTGCAAAAGCAAAAATCGAATGTATTGGAATAGCAGTCATATTGATACGAGAAATACGTAAATTTATATTTCAGTTGTAAAAGTAAATGATTAAAAGTTCATTGCCTTCATATGTGTTATGAAGCAGAAAAATTATCAATGTTTTTAAAACCTCAATTCCGAGCCCTATATTCTGACCCTGTATACATACTACATATTTTTGTGCTTGCTTTGCTTTTATATTCAGCAGAACTTTTCGATTTCTGCAGTTGTAGGAATATCTTAGCTTTTCTGTATTAACTGAAAAAAATGTTTCTATTTAGAAACAATTGTTCATTACGAAAGCCAAGTTTTCTGTGTGTATGTGTATGTGTCAGAACTGTCATGCCTTAAGGGCCTTTAGGTTCGCTCGTGTTTAACCTTTCTATTTCACAGTATAGCGCCAAGGCCCAGAGCATTGTCTTTTCCAGATTTATTTTCCACTTGGTGGCAGAGCCAAAGTTAGAATAAACACCTTTCTGGTTCCCCCTCAGAAGCCTTTTTCAGCTTAGCATTCTGATTTAAAGGAAAAAGGGCAACTCTGAATTTACAAAAGAGCAAGTCGTTTGATTAGAAAGTAACCAATACCAAGTATTGCCAGCACCTATTTTATGTTCTGATATTATTTTTTTGGTTTTGCAGCATTTCAGAAAAGAAAATTAAAGGTTTCTTTTTGCTTTTTAAGTAGTTTGGTGCAATAACGTTCTCATTTTTCCTAATAGCTTATATCTACAAATCTGAGTATCATGTTTGTGTGTTCCGTAGATGTGTGAGAGTTGTTCATGTTTAATGGCAATCGATGTGATTGGATCATGTTTCGATCTCCTGTAACACTGTCCACGGTCTGGATGTTGTGAAGGAGCCGGTCCTTGTAGTGCCTGTTACTGTAATGATGTAGTCTAGCTCATAAAATACAGTATCTCTGACAATATTTGCAATTGTATTTGCTCCCAGTACATTCACACATGACATTTACAAGCCAGTTTTCATCTTTTTGCCAAAGAGGAAAAAAAAAAAAAGCCTTTAGGTGAAATAACTTTTTTTCTTAAACATTTATAATCATGTTAACCTTTGGAATTGCGAACACTTATATCGGACCAAACTGGTCTTGCCGATCATTTTGGCTTTCTTGTGGCTTGTAGATATACTGTGAATAAAGTGAGTGTTTTCAGAGACATCACACAATGGTGACTTGTCAGCTACTGTATTTATATGTGTGATAGACTAGTTATAGAGATGGCCACATGACACCCATGTATGAACTTTGGCCTACTAGTGAATAAAAAATGGCTTTTAAAATTTCTCTTTCAGAACAAAGGAAGAATTATGCACGGGACAGTGTCAGCAGTGTGTCAGATATATCTCAGTACCGCGTTGAAGTAAGATCCTTGATGTTTGCTAATATTCAGAAAGACCTTTGAGAGGGGCCTAAGCTTTGGAAGTGAAATCAGAAATAGGCTTTATTTCATTCCTATGATGTTTTTTAAGTTGTGTTCACATTTTCTTTTAGATTTTTTTGTGAAACTTAAGTTTTACGTATCTAAGTGCCTTGTGGTTCTGGGGTCTGTTTTTGTAGCCGGCAAATTTAAATCACAGCTACTACTCATTTGATCATTGTTAGCCTTATTTTGGTTACAATAGGATAAAGGCTTCTGTTTTGTGCTATAGAACCTTCTTGAAATGAAGTGTTTGACAGTTTCAGTGAGTAGTTCAGTTTTATTTTTAGTTTTATCTAAAGTCATTCCTAGTTCTACTTAATGGTTTCTTTGTACATTTTTGTTCTATTGTTATCTTAAGATATTTATTTTTAATTGGAATCTATCCTCTGTGCCTATAATAGAAAATATTTAAGCA